CTGGGGTTGCTGGGAGGATTACCACAAGTAAGGGAAAGGTACTCGCCATAAAGTACTTGGTAGAGTGCTTGGCATGCAGCCTGTGTAGGAGAAACGTTCCGCATTGTAGTTATTGTTCACTGATCGGCTTTTCAATAAACAGCACGGAAGCAGGAAGCTTTCCTCTGCCATTTCTCCAAAGTCTTTTTTTTCTTTTTCTTTTTCTTTTTTTATTTTTTATTTATGATAGTCACAGAGAGAGAGAGAGAGAGGCAGAGACATAGGCGGAGGGAGAAGCAGGCTCCATGCACCGGGAGCCCGACGTGGGATTCGATCCAGGGTCTCCAGGATCGCGCCCTGGGCCAAAGGCAGGCGCCAAACCACTGCGCCACCCAGGGATCCCTATTTATTTTATTTTAAAATATTTTTATTTATCCATGAGAGACAGAGAGAGGCAGAGTCACAGGCGGAGGGAGAAGCAGGCTCCATGCACCGGGAGCCCGACGTGGGATTCGATCCCGGGTCTCCAGGATCGCGCCCTGGGCCAAAGGCAGGCGCCAAACCGCTGCGCCACCCAGGGATCCCTGGTGTCACCCTTTTCAACTAGAAATGCCATTGTGGCAAGTAAGGAAGTCTGGAGCCATTCCTGTTCCCGGCCTGGCAGTCACCGGGGCCCTGAGACACAGACACTTGATATCAAGGCTCTCCTGGACAGTCCCAGCTTTTTCCGTGGTGGCCTTCCAAAGGCAAGCCACGGTTCTCTTCCGAAACCACAAGAACCCCGGGGCTGGTTTCTCTGTTGCTCTCGAGGTCATGAGTGAGTCCATCTTCTACTGCAAACTCAGGGTAAAAGTACCTCACTTTTATTTTTGTCTTCAGGGCTGGCCACGTGCTCTGTTAGGGAGAACCAAGTCTCCCTAAACCAAGTCTCTTGGGCAGAACCTAATTGGCTTCCACATTTTCCATTCTGAGCACCCAAATTCAACCTATGTGCCTCAGGCGGATTCAATCCATGTGCCTCCAGGCAGAGAACATCATGCTCGGGATCCTGGACAAGACCAATCTGAAGTCCTTGGAGTCCCAAAGTAGTTCTGTAGCACCTGGCAGGCAGTTTTTTTTTTTTTTTTTAACATACAACATAATTTTCTTTTTAAAAATTTTTTACGACAATCTTATTTATTATGTTTTTATTTTTTATTGGTGTTCTATTTGCCAACATATAGAATAATACCCAGTGCTCACCCCATCAAGTGCCCCCTCAGTGCCCGTCACCCAGTCACACCCCCCCCCCCCCCCCAGTTTTCTTTCCCAGGTAATGGAGTGACAGGAAAGCCTCATTCTTATTCTCATCAGGCAAACGGAAGCAGCCTCGTCCTAGGAGTCAGGCCGCTGAGTAATGTTTAAAGAGCCTTGTTCCCTGGGCTATCCTCTGCTAAGGCCCCTGGGGAGATGCAAAACGGCCTGAGCCCGTCCTGCCTTCAGGGTTTAGGTTCAGGTTGGGCAGGTGAGGCCCTACAAGAACGCGCAGCCAGAAGTGTCGATGGGGGCTTCGGAGCGAGGGGAGGTCGCCTCTCTGAGAAAGGGCTGTAGCCGCAGATGGGGGCAGGGCCGTGGAGACGGGGTCTGCGTCACTGCAGACACCCCTGGGCAGTGCAGCGGGGTCTGCGCCTTCTCCCGCCGCACCCCAGGCCCTCCAGGAACGGGGGTGCTCCCGGGGCAGCCCTGGGAGGTTCCGTCCAGCAGGGCGCCGCGGGTCAGGCCGGGCGGCGGGGAATGGGGCCCGGGGGACGCGGCTGGGGGTGGGGCTGGGGGGTGGCGCCCTGCCAGGCCACAGAGCTGGGCGCCGGCCTCCACCCGGGGAGCTGCTCCCTCGCTCCCAGGGTCCGCAGAAAAGCCCACCGCGCGGCGGGGCGTGCCTTCTCCGTCCGCCAGACCACAGCTCCCTGCTCATTGGCTGTCGGAGCGTGAGCGGCAGGCAGGTTTTCCATTGGCTACGAGGAATAGGCCACACCCACCCTAAGCCCCGCCTTCCAGCCGCGCCGTGTTTGCGAACAGCGCCACCTGCTGTCGGGGTAGCGCGACCCCGCGGAGCTGGGAAAGCCCTGGGGTCTGGTTTCGGACGCGCTCAGCTCCGGTTGCCTGGTTGCCTGCGTGCCCGCCGTGGGCAGGCCGCGTGCCAGGGGCTGATTCCCCTGCGCGGCAGGTGCAGGCTTGCGTGCCCCTGGGGACAGCCCCGCGCTTCTGAATTCCTCTCACCTTATCCGAACCACGCGGCCCTTTAGGAATTCAGCAATCTTGTCCGCGGCTGTTCTTAGTTCCGGCGGCTTTTCTTCACTTCATTCGTTTCTTACGTCTAGGCTCAGCGTCTTTCACTGCATTTCCTGCTATTTCTGGTTTCAAACGTTTTGGGAAGTAGGGGCATCCCTGAGGTTGGTTTTATTTTTTTCCGTGAAAGTGCTACCCGGCATATGAATTCATCTTTTAGATTGTGGTTGTCAATTTTGGAGAGTGTGTTTCCAGATTGCTAAGACTTCTTAACAACCAGGTTTCCGGATTGAGATGTGTCTGCATCCATGTCTGTCACAGTAATGGGGCACCCTCCGCCCTATTCAGAGTCCAAAATGGAAATTTTATATCTTAAAGGAGATAGATGGTCATTTAGAGTTCCTTCTCAGAGTTGGGTCACATAATTTCTGATTTTCAAGTCAGGTTATAATCTATAAATTCCTGCTCGGGTCACTATACCACTTCAATGAAATATGTATTCCTGTTAAGATTTGCCTTTCTCTTTGCGTCTCTCATGAATAAATAAATAGGATCTTTAAAAAAAACTTGTTGAAAGATCTTTGGGGGCACCTGAGTGGCTCAGTCGGGTAAGGGGATTTTTTTTTTTTTTGGTATCTTGCATATTTACTGAAGACATTTTTTTGGTATCTTGCATAAATATTTTGCTCAGTTTCATATAGTTGTTGTTTGTTCATTCCTATCTAGTTTTCTACTTTGGGAGTTTGTGACAATATGTATCTCCATCCTGCAGCATAAGAGACTGTTCACTGCTCCATATCCTCACCAATGCCCGGTATTGTCAGACTTTCACATTTTTGCTAAATACAACTCATTAGCTTATGTTATTTTATTGTGGCTTTAATTTACCTTTCCCCGAATGTTGATGGAATTCAGCACACTTTGTAAGCTTACTGGCTGTTTGGATTTCCTCTTCTGTAGTGTCTCTGCTCGAATCTCCGACTATTTTTAAAATTGAGTTGTCTGCCTTTTGATTCGTAAGAATTCTTTTTTTAAAAAAAGATTTTGTTTATTTATTCATGAGACACACACACACACACACAGAGGCAGAGACACAGGCAGAGGGAGAAGCAGGCTCCATGCAGGGAGCCCGATGTGGGACTTGATCCTGGGTCCCCAGGATCACACCCTGGGCCGAAGGCGGCACTAAATTGCTGAGCCACCCGGGCTGCCCCAGTAAGAATTCTTTACATTAGGTTGAACCATATGAAATCGTTGGTGTTTAATCATTTTTGACCTACAAAATATGGCAGTTGTATGTGGTTCAACTTAACACACTCTTGATACTGGCCCTTTGTTCATTGTACATATCAAGAAGTATTTTATCCTGTTAACACTGCTTATCTTTTTGTTTTCTTCATTCTATTTTTGGAAGGTCAGGAGTTTCTAATTTTAGTGTAGTTGGATTTGTCAGTCTTTTCCTTGATGGCTAATCCTTTTTTTTTGGTGTGTCCTGTTTAAGAAATCCATCTTATCTTTTGGAGCAATGGTGACCAGATTGTGGGGGCTTGGAGCTATGTTCTCAGAGCGTTCTGCTTTGGGGCCTGGGTCACCCTGATTCCACTGTGGGGTGCGCAGATTCCTTTACTACTGAAGATTTGGCTAGATGGGGGAGGGAGAGGCCACTGCTGGGGCCCTTCGACCATGGATCCCAATTTTCCAAGGAGAGCTTTCCCAAAGGTTGCTTCCTCACCATTCTTGTGAGTGTGGAAGGTCTTCTTATTGAGAAGACATGCTTCAATATACTGATAAGATTCTGACCAGTTGGCTCAAGCAGAGCGGGTGGCTTCAGGGGGGGCCTGATGGAGGAGGGGGAAATGTCATGATTTATTGGCTCTGACTCCTCACTGTCACCTGGGTTAGGCGAGGCAGGGGACTGTCCAACCTGTTCACAGTTTCGTTTCCAGCACAGTGCCTGCCACATGGAGATACTTGGAGATATTTGTTCAGTAATGCATTAATCATTTTTGAAGAATTGTTACCAAAAAGTTACTGTTTTCTCTTCTAGTTTCTCCTGAAAAAAACTTTTAGTATCCACGAGGTGGCGACTGTTAATCACATCTACAGGGGTTGGGGTGGGTGGGTGCGGAATTTAGTTATGAAATTGGAATTGGAGATTTGAATTTACATGGAATCTTGTTTTAATTTTGTTTTTGAACTCAATCATCAAGTTTAAAAAACATACTGTCATAAGAAATATTTGCGAAGTTAAAATAAAGACCCTGGTGAATTATCTTCTTCCCCAAGCTAAAGATGGTGTGGATTTCTCTTCCATAGTGTTACTAAACGTGTCCTTTTATGGCTAGACTGGATGTAAATTCTTTCCATTCTTCATTCAGATAAACGAATGCGGCTCAGCTCGCCCTTCTGCTCGGAAGTGGTGTTTTACTGTCAGAATCTGGCAACCTCCTTTGTTTATTGCATCTGGCGGATCTGAGTCTTGGAGAAAACCTGGCCCCTTTACAAGCCCCGCCCCCAGCTCCCCCCTCCTGCCCCCTACCTCTCCTCCCCTCCCCTCCCTCCTTCCCAGAAGCCTCACAGAGCCCCTGGTCTTTGGTTTTCTCTTCTGCAGGAAATCCGATGTCACACCATCCCTGCTTTTTGTTAAAAAATAAAACAAAACAAAAACACAAACAAAAAAGCCCCTCAAAAGCAATTTGTTTATTTGAAAATACAGCTAAGATCACCATCTTGAGGTTTGTGTTCTGATGGGGAAAATGAAGATATATATCTGGAAATGACTCTGAGATTTTGAGATTGAGATAGGCAAGTAATCCCAGATTTATCTCCTTATCATTATTTTAAAAAAATAATTTTAAAAAGATTTTATTCATTTACTCATGAGAGACACAGAGAGAGAAAGAGGCGGAGACACGGGCAGAGGGAGAAGCAGGCTCCATGCAGGGAGCCCACAAGGGACTCGGGACTAGATCCTGAGTCTCCAGGATCACGCTCTGGACCAAAGGTGGCGCTAAACCGCTGAGCCACCCGGGCTGCCCTCTCTTTATTATTAAAGTAAAACTCACTTTTTAGTTAGTTTGTTCTGCGAACAGTTCTGTGAATTTTAATACATGGATGGACTCATGTAACCAACACCATGATCAAGATAAAGAACGGTACCACCGCCCTCAAAGCCCCCTCATGCTACACCTTGTTCAGTCACACTGTTTTGTACCACATTGTGCCTGTGCTTAACAATTACAAAAAATATTGTGCCACTTCTGGCTATCACTGTTTCTGATGAGAAACCACAGAAATTCGGATCATTTTTCTCTAGAGGTAACAGTCCATTTTGTTTGGTTGTTCTCAAGATTTTTTTTCTTTGTCTTTAGTTTTTAGCATTTAGATCCTCATGTCCATGCTTGTACTTCTTTGAGTTTGTTCTGTGTAGGGTTCTTTGCACTTCCTGGATCTTGAGGATTATGGCTTTCACCAAATTTGGGGGTTTTTCAAACATTATTTCTTCACGCAAACACTAGTCATTCTTGCAGACAGCTTTCATTGGCCTCTCCAGATAGTCTTTCTGCCTTCCTCTAGCCTTCTCTGTGCCCTCAAGGAGACTCTTATATTGGTCACATCTAAGCTCTCATGTTCTAAGATGTCAGGTTTGGTCAATAAGGAATGCTAGCAAGAGATCAGAGTGGGGTAGTTTGGGTGTTCATTCCCTAGGATCCCTCTCTGAAAGGTCATCTCAGGGTGCCGGCATTTCTCTGGGAAGGTGACAGCTCAAATCAAGCACCATTTCCATCAGCTTTCTTAGTCACCGGCTGAAACACAGTGCTCCTTTTCCTTATCTTTTGGGCTGAAGGGTAATGACACCCTCTCTGATCCCACCCCCCAACCCTTGGTTACAAACCCCAGTGTGGCACTGTCACCTCTGGTTTCCTACATTTTGCCAGTGACTCCAGACCTAGAGAGGAGGTTGGGAGAGGGAGGAGCATCAGAGGTTTGCTTGGGCTCATTTCCTCTGCCTCATTTAGCCAAGAGGAATTCCCTGGAATAACTAAGCAAGAAGCTGGGAGAAACAAGACAGTTTATTGTCATCATTGCTCATGAGGGGCCATGAGGCAAGGCGGAATGGTAAAGGTGAGCCAGAAATGGGCAAGAGTGGTGTGATGATTGGTGGAGGGGACTGTGGCCATGGCTGTGGCTGTGGCAGTGGAGGAAGGTAACTGGAGCTAGCGTAGAGTCTCTTTTCCCCAGCCTGATCCTTCTCCCAGGAGCCAGAGGCAGTCCAGAAAGAGTCCAGGCATGAGCACTCAGGAGAAGCAAGGCTAGATTCCATTTGCTTCCAGCAGTTTCTTCTGCTCTATTTTCTAAGGGAGGCAGAGGGGCAACATAACATGGGGAGAGGAGACGTACATTTTTTCCTCTAGAGCAGCTTTGTTCTGGAGCCACCCAGAGCCAGCATTAGCCTCGTGGTACTCGATGCCAAGAGCCCCAGCATCCCACCGTGGATATAGACTTTCATGGCTTCCTGGGGGCCACCCGGTCAGAGATAGGCGCTCTTTGGGCCAAGCCCCCATTAGGGTAGAAAGACAGGCGCAGGACTCACTGTAAGGATCCTTTCCTGCCCCAAGCCATGCCCCACCCATCTCTGCTCCTCTGGACACTCCTGCCCCCTGAACACACAGATACACACGTTAGGGACTCACCTTATGTCGGGACCTACTCCAGCAGAACAGACACAGGGGAACCAGAGATGCCAGGAGCAGCAGAACCCAGATACCCAACAGCATGACCTGAAAGCTTATGAACAGGGCCTGGGAACAGAGAACCAAAACCATGGGCACCAGAGTGATGGTTGCCATCTGTGCTCTGTGCTCACTCTCATTTCCAACACAGAGTCTCCTCTCCCCCTTCCTCACGTCTGTAGCTTCTAGAGAGGCTGAGGAAGGAGCCCTACCTGGTTTTGGGGGGGGATGTTAATGAGTCTAGTGAGCAGAGAGTAGCCAGAAACCCCTCTCATCCAGCCTCCCTCCCCATCCTCACCCGAACAGTGAGGGGCTCAGGTTACGATGTGTGGTGCCCCAGCAGCCCCAAGGCTGGAGGGGATCGAGCCTCTGCAGCACTTTGCACACTTGCAACGCTGGTTCATTTGTGATTATTTCAGTGTTTGGGTTTCCCACTAGTCTGTAACACCCTCAACTACGGGGACTGTTTCTAGTCTGTTCAGTGACACGTCTGTGGTGACAGTCAAGCTGGGTGGGGAACAGGTGACACAGCCCTCGTTGCCCAGCGCCCGCTGTGCCCCTTCCTCTGGCCCCCCTACCTCCAGCATGCTCAGGTAGGAGAGACACAGATGCAGTCTTGTGGCTTCTTCTGGGCTTGGAGTGCTAGGGCTCAGGGGGGCCCAGGACCAGGCCTTCGAGGAGACATCACAGATGAAGTCTCTAAAATAAAAGCGGTGCCTATAGAAATTACTGGCTCCAATGACGATGGCAGCGGTGGCTGTGGAGAAAGCTGCCAGGGCAAGCAGGATCCTCAGCAAGGCCTGGTGAGGCAAGGAGGCAGAGGGAGACCTTGGAGACTCAGTCTCTTCAGGACCCGGCTGGGGAGAGACGGGCAGGCTCTGGTTGGGGTGGCCTCCAGCTTCTGGGCCCGGTGTCCACCTGTGTCCTTCCCCAGACTCACCCAGCAGATGCCACCCCGTTTCTGGTGAATGAAGGCGACAGCTCCAGCCAGCGCAGCCTGGGGAGAGATGGAAGCAGGAGCAGAGTTAGCACAGGAGACACAAGCCCTCCAGCTGCTGCCTCTCTTTCCCTCTGTAGCTCCAATGGACAGAACCAGTCATCGGCTGGTCCTTCCTTGGAACATTCCAGGTGGATCTGAGGTTTGAGCTAAGCTTTGTTGTCTGTAGTCAGGCCTGGGTCAAACTTCCCAGGGGACAGGACCCTCTGTTCTAGTGACATCAAAGAGCCCTTCTTCCCTTCTCCAAAATCTTCCTTTTAAAGCAATGGTGCTTTGTGGAAGTTCCAGATCGGGGAGTGGAAGTCCTAGGCTGTTGGAGAAGCTCTCAGCGCAGGATGGGTCCGTGGGTGGCCTCTCGTTGGGGCAGCTGTCCCAGCGGTGCCCGGCAGTCTCACCACCTGGGCTGACAGAACAGGAAGTGTGGTATATCCCGGTGGACAGATGGATTCCAATCCTGTTTGGCGATGCTGTAGCTAATCTGAGTGTTTTGCCATTGGGTGGATGAGGATGATTTTTTGGCCCTTCTCTCAATAAATATTCTGTGAATGTGGGCAGGCCAAAGGGCCCTCAGTACTACCACGAGCTGCCCCCAAGCCCCTATTGCAGACTGCACACACCCACCAGTGGACATTCACCACTGTCATTTGGTGGCACCCAGTGGATTCCCACTGCGTGCAGGACCAGCAGAAGATAATGGAAAATGACCATGTTCTTTCTCCCCATCTCAGTGCAAGTGTCTGGAAATGAGCTGGGTCCTAGGTCTTTGGTTGATATTTGCTGCTGAATGTGGTGGGGAGGCAGCCAGACTGGTGGGAAACCACCACAGGGGCCAGGCAACTTTGACAGAGCACCACTTCCTTTGGCTATTTTCTCATCTTTAGAAACAGGGAATCAGCCTCCACCACCTTGGGGCTTTTTGACAACTGACATTTTACAGTACCACGGTAGTGGTGATAGTCTGTCACCCCTGCCAGGAGGTGAATCTGCCCCTTCTTGGCCTGTCAACCATCCTCCCGTCTCACTCACCACAGCCCCTGTCCAGATGGCAGCTCCTGAGCTACACAGGGTGGAGCATTAGAAGATGTAGAGGAACCCTCCTAGAACTCCACTTGACACCCCCAGCACGATCTGTACCACCTGGAGGAGGAATAAAAATCTAAGAAACTGAATTCTCAGATTCCTGGGCCCAGGAGCAACCTGGGCACCAAGACTCAGGCAGCTTTCAGGTCCTACCCCTCCAAGGCATAAATACGTGGAACCCCATGAAAGAGAATGTGAGGAGGGAGAAAGGAGGAGAGGGAGCCAGCCCAAGCGGGATCTGGTGGAGGGGACAGGGTGGCTCAAGGCTCCGGCAGCGACGGCTTTAAATGACCATGGCTCCCCTGCACCCTTCTAGCCCAAAGCTTTAATTGCAAAGGCCAGTAAGGGAGTCAACAGTCAGAAATGGAGCAAAACTGCCGGGCATCCAGTTCAGAGAGTCTGGCCAAGGGTGTGCACAGCACAAAGAGGGTCTTCTTTTCCTGATATGGGGAGGCTGGGAGATCCTCTGGGCTGCTACTCACCCAGGAGGCCAAGAGCAGCCGGCTCCTGCTCCAGGTCTGGAAGGTGGCCCCAGGGAAGTGGGACCGCAGCAGGGAGCACCCACTGGTCAGGAGCTTGGCCAGAGCGGACTCCTGGTGGATGTGCACGTTAATGTGCATGGGCTGGGGTGCCCCAGGGGCCACCTCACCACTGTCTACTGTCTCCATGCCTGCGGACCTCAGTCTGCGAGAGAGGAAGGGAGTGTCAGGGAGGAAAAACTAGAAGAATGTTTTCAAGGATTTCCTTGGCCTTTGGGGCTGGTGGAGGTCCATGGTCACAAAGCAGCATCCCCGGTCCTTTCTCCAGGTGTCGTGTCAGGACAGCCTGACTCTGCTGGTGCTGTGGCAGCCGTCGAACCTGCTGGAACCCCCTTCTTCACCCCAGATCTGCTTCTCCCTCCATCCTCCCACAGCGTCAAGATCTGGACCCAGCAGTGCCCCGCAGGCCTCGCCTCTCCACCCTCTTCTGCCAACCTGCCTTTGCCACCAAAAGTCCTACCCTGAGCCTGCGGGTAACAGGTCAGAACCCCAGTCCTGGCTCCTGTTGCTGCAGATGCTCTGCAGACAGGTCTGACGACCCCTAAGTACCTTCAGCCCCTAAGTACCTCCCTCTCCACCAGCAGTCACACAGTTCCAGCTGGCCTGTTCAAGCCGAGCACCCCCCCCAACAATGAAGGAAGAAGTTGAGGTGAAAGCGAAGGTCAAGGCCAGATTGACTTGGTGTCAAACAGGGACATGGCTGGCCTCTGCTCCTGCCACCTTCTTGGAGTCCATTGGCAACTGGTGGTTGGTCTTCTCCCTCCCTCCATCCCCAGTAAGCCCTGGGCTGGGCTTTAGAAGCCTGTGACAGGTTGGGTGGGGAGTCCAGTGGGGCAGGGTCCTGGGAAAGGGCTGTCCCCCGGCCTCACCTGCTCTTCTAAGGGCCTCCGGGGGCTGAGTGTGCCAGCAGGGATTGCTGGCTGGGCTGGGCTGGGCTGGAGCTGGAGCCAGGAACCAGGAGGATGGAGGAGGAAGCTGGTAGAGCACCAGAAGGGCAGGGTGGAGGAGGGGCCGAACTTGATCATTAGCCTCTCTGGAAGACAGCCTGGCCGAGGGGCCCCTGCCTGGGGGGTTTCCAGCTGTCAGTCCCTCCCTGGGCTCTGGCCTGCAGCCCTGGATGCTGAGGAGCCCCGGGGAACCCCAAGAACCAGTCCTCTCCCCATCGGCCACCGGGGCAGGTGCTTTTTGAACACAAGTGTTCAGGTGCTGTGAGTGTGTGCCCCATGTGTGTTGTGAGAGTCAGCCGTGTGTGTGTGTGTGTGTGTGTGTGTGTGAGTGTGCATGCGCGTGAGCACACACACTCACATGTATGCACTCTGCCCGTCTCAGCAGCCTGGTTATCTACTAGAGATGGAATTCCCCTAGAGGGGCCCCTTTGTCCCAGCTGTCTTCTGGGAAGTTGCAAAGCTGAAGGTCAGACCCTCCTCCCTCCACCCCTTCCTTCCACTCTTCTCTTTCTCAACTGCTGGCTGGTCCTCAGCTATAGGTGGATCCTCCCAGCCCTGCTCTGCTGAGGCTCCCAGAGGACCGCAGGTGAGCAGGGCTCCCACCGGCCCATGGCCCCTTACCTGGAGGGAAATATGACCTTGCTCTCTTGAGGAGTCCCCAAGGCCAGTCCAAAGTCCCCATTCTATCTCACAGGATACTGCTCTCTCCCCATTCCCAGTTCCCATAGAACTTGCTGAGGGTGGATAGGGATGCTCTAGACAGGGTGTCACCTGGGGAAAGAAAAGGACATGGGTCTGGCTGCAGCAGCTTCACCAGGCCTCACCCCTCCTTTGTTTCTGGTAAGGTGGCTAAAGCTCAGGCGTTTTGGTGGTGAGAGGTCTTCAGAGCAATGCCGGAACTGGAGGGGCCAGGATGTAGCACAGGTCCCGATCCTCTCTCCCCAGCTCCAGGAGCGCTGGGAGGAGTGAGGCAGAGAGAGTAGCCAGGGCAGCAGGGCAGAGCCTCACACCAGGGTAGAGTGGGAGGAGAGTCCTCATGGGACTGGGATGGACCAGGAGAAGAGCCCGGAGCTTGGCTGAGCTGGCATTGGAGCATGATGGAGGAAGTGGTGGTACTCAGTGGGCTCAGAGGGAGCTGGATCCCAAGGCACATTCAGGGCCATCCCAGCCACCTCTGCTGGCTCCTGGGACCCGAGGGAAGATCTTGCTGGAATCCAGGCTGGACTTCCTTGTGTGTGTCTCTGAACCTACTTGTGTGTTGGCAGAATTGTTCAACTCCTGTCCCCAAAGAGACCAGGTAGGCACAAGAATGACACTGCTTTGGATGGGACATAGAATTCAAAGGAGGACTTTAGGATTGCCACCATTGCTAATGTTAGAATAATTATTAATACTGTTGAGATTCCCATCAGTGCTGCTGAAGTAGGATGCCCATTGGAACTACTATGGAGGATTGCTTTTGGAGCAGGGCAAGTTGATCTCAAAATGCATATGGAGAAGTAACCTAGCAAAAGTCCATGAAAGAAAAAAATAACATGAAGGGGTCACAAAATAGCTCAATTGAATATAAACTTCACACTTATCATTGTGGCAATGGTGCCTGATGTGTTGGACACACCAATGGGCAGAATATAAATACTAGAATAGATCTGAATTCCTATGAGAATTTCGTTTTTGCTCAGGAGAACATTTTAATTCAGTAGGAGAAAGATAATATATTCCTCAAACAAAACATACCCTTCAGAAGTAAACCATCTGGGGAAAGAAACCCCACAACAACTTGGATCTGAACCTTCCAACTTACAAGATAAATCCCAGATGGATCAACATTTAAATGTGAAAACTGAAAGCCTACCACCACTTAGAAGAAAACAGGGAAGAATTATTTTATAATCTTGATAATCTTGATGTGGGACAGTCTTTTTTTTTTAAGTATTATATAAAACCCAGAAGTCAGAATAAAGATGGAAACTGTGGTTAATAAAAAAATAAATCACAAATTGTAAAGAAATATTTGGAAATCATGTCACATGATTAGTTTTTTGAATACCCAAGATCGTATACAAAGTAAAACAGTAAAACAAGAAGGACATAAGATATGAACAGAGAGCTCACAAAAGAAGGGGGAAAATGTATCAAACATATGAAAAGATGACCAATATTATTCATAAGAAGAGAACTATGGATTGAAACTATACTGAAATAGTCACAGAAAGCAGAGTAGTGGCTGCCTTGGGCCAGGGGCCGAGGGTTTTACTGGGGAGAGAACATTAGGGAACTTTGTGTGATGTAGTATGTTCTCTACCTTGATTGTAGTTGGAGTTGTACAAATGCACGAATTTGTCAAATCTCACTGAGATATCCACCGAAAGGGGGGCATTTTGCTGCATAAAACTGGTTAAAATCTATAATGGGATATAATTTTCCTGATACACATTTGAAAACAATTAAAAAATTTGCTGAAACCTCCTGCTGGTCACGGAGAGGGGTAGTGGACATTCTTCGAACTTGTTCCTACTTATGGCATGGGGTAGCCCTGCCCAAGGCCTATTGAAATGATACATGCCTATTCCCATTGACCTGCCCATTTCCCACTGTTTGCAAGAGGAAATCCATGTCTATCAATAGGAGCCCACTGAGGGGCGCCTGGGTGGCTCAGTCATGTAAGTGTCTGCCTTTGGCTCAGGTCATGATCTCGGGGTCCCAGGATGGAGCCCTGGGTCAGGCTCCCTGCTCAGTGGGGAGCCTGCTTCTCCCTCTCCCTCTGCCCCTCCCCCTGCTTGTGCTCTCTTGCTTTCTCTCTCCTCTGTCTCTACCAAGTAAAATCTTAAAAAAAAAAAATAGGAGCCTGCTGAAAACAATTGTGAAGCATTCAGACAATGGAATACTGTGAAGCCAGACAAATGAGTAAGAAAGCATTTTATGGATTGATGTACAATTATCTTCAAAACACAGTTGGATGAACAAATCATTGTACACAGTGTATGCAGAATCCTGCCATTTGTGGGAAGAGGGGGATTTTTTAAATGCTTTTTTAAATGCTTTTTATATGCAAAAATATTTTTATATGCTTTTCTATGCAAAAAAGTGTCATCGTAGGATATATTTAAAAATGGCAATATTAGTTCCCAACTAGAAGGCAACTAGATGGCTGGGAGAGAAAGATGGGAAGTTTTAAAGGTATATCCTTTTGTATCTTTTGAATTTTCTTAATCATATGAAAGTACTATGTATAAATATATATACTAAGTCCCTGAACTAATTCAGATTCCTTTCCTTGCCCAACCCAAGACCAGACATACTGTGTAAGTGTCAGACCATTCTGAAAAGTGGTGAAAAACTCTAGAGGTGATTTGGATTTGGTTCCCAGATTAAGACCGCTGTGACACTGCCACCTGTCCTGGGAAGATCCTTTGGATCTTGATAAGGGACTGTTTTCTCTCCCTTCACTAATGCAACATATTCCTTTTTCCCTTAGCTGATTCCCAGACCTCACTTTTGTATATCTTCTTCCCAGCAGGCAGGATGACCCAAAACACGGTGACCGTGAATGGAGTCGATGTGGCCTCTACACTGTCCCAGCCCACCCACATCAACATCCACATCCACCAGGAATCGGCTTTGGCACAACTGTTAAAAGCTGGGGCTTCCCTGAAGGAGTTCTTTTCTCACCCTCAGGACGCTGGCCCTTCCAAGACCAAGATGAGCTATGGGCAGCTGGCACTGGGGGTAAGTGCACCAGGTGCTGCTGAGGATGGTAGCTCTCCTTGAACAGGATGGGGGAAAAAGTGGGTTGACTCTTCATGAGAACTTCCTGTTTGTATCCCATCTTTTTTTGGGAAACAAAGTTTTGGCAGGTTCCCCATACATTTAGGTGGAAAAGAATGATGTGCTTCTTTGATATAGTGGGGGTGGTCCCAGCCGGAGGTGGGGGACAGGTGGCTGTTAGCTGAGTTTAATGGAGCCTGTATGGACTGAGGGCCTACAGATGTGAGGCATCCTGGTAGGCACTTTGGGGAAAACTAGAGATAGTCCCTAGGCCATACCCTAAAGGTGCTCAGCATCTATCAGAAGGGACCAGACCATTACACGCATGTCTAGAATGAAAGGTAGAGTGGGTGACATCATCGGGGATCAACCTTCAGGAGTTGGCATCTGAGCCAAACCTTGCATGGAGGAAGACTACGTATAGACAGATAGAGGTGAAGGATGGAAAAAAGGATGTCCCGGTCAAGGGAACAGCAAAAGCAAGGGTGAAGAAGTCAGAAAGCATTGGGCAAGTTTTGTCAGAGTAAAGAGAGTAGGACTCATGGCAGATCAGACTGGAAATGCAGCCTGGGGCCCGACTGTGGAGAGCCTTGACTGACAGGATGAGAAGTTGTCTTGAATCAGCTTTAGTAATGAGGAGGCTGCGGGTGGCTTCCGGGCAGGAACCCGGGCTCTAGGCTGCCTCCCAACCAGGAAGTGTCCAGGGAAGAAGGGCGAAGGGTCTGCGTCTACCTGGGCAGGCCCAGCAAAAATGACAAGGAAAGAGAGGCATCTCCGTCATCTGTGGATGGCATCTCCATGACTTGGGAGTGAGTGGACTTGGGGTACAAGGGAGGAGAGGAATCCAAGAACATGCTGAGGTTGGCCTGTTGGTGACCAGGAGCCTGAGGCCCTGGAAGGCAGGAGAGGCAGACTCTGGGATTGCGGGTGAGGTATGGAGCCTGGGTGTGACAAATCTGAAATGCTTGGCGGGCTGTGCAGGTGGTGATGGTCAAGAGGCAGTGATGGTGGGGTTCTCCAGAGGCCAGACGCTGAGTCAGTTAAATGTGCAAAAGGTTTATTGGAGTGTAACACCTATGAAATGAAAAAGGAAGGAACAAGATTGGGCAAGGGGAGCTGCCAGATCATAATGCAGGCCCGACGAGGTCTCTGCCAGCCCAGTGGGGAGCTTGGGAACAAGGACTGCCTCTTTGTTGGTGAGCCACATTCGGTGGAAGTGGCCCTCGTACCCACCACCTTGCTTCACCAATGGCTGGGTGGCCATCTCCAAAGAGTGTGCCTGTAGCTTGAGAGGTGAAGGGACCCTGAAGCTGCTGACCACTGAGGGCTGTCAGCTAACACACGCCTTTCTTGAAGGGGATCCTTTTGGCCTATTCTGGACAGGATGATGGGATTCCTAAGGGGGAATGAGGCAGAAAAAAGTGGGATCATCAGGTGGGAGAACAGTGTGGTATTGAGGAAAAAGTAATGACGAAAAGCCTGACATGTCAGAGGGATGGAGGAGAACCAGGACATGCTGCTTCCTGGATTTGAAGGGGGCAGAACCTTCCAGAATCTGCAGAGAGGTCAAGACAGGAAAAGGAGAGGAAAGTCAGCTAGGTAGGAGCTGAGTGGCCTCTCCTGGCGCTCATGGGCTTGCAGGAAGGGAGTTGGCTTTTTACCCTGTCTTGCAGATGACCCAGATATTGTTGGGGGCTGTGAGCTGTGCTCTTGGAGTATTGCTCTACTTGGGGCCCTGGATGGAGCTGCGTGCCTCGGGCTGTGCCTTCTGGGCAGGGTCTGTGGTAAGTAAGGAAGGGGCTCTAAGCTCCATGGCAGGCAAGTGGTTATGGGCAAGGAGAAAGTTCCTTTGGATCTGGGTCAGGGATTTGGGGAAGAAGCCAAAGACCCAGATCTGAATGCCCTTTGCCATGCCTTAAGGGGCGAGCCAATCTTGTTGCTCTACTTTCCTCCTTGAGGCCAGGTTGGGCAGGTGGGGCAGCTGTGATGGAGTCCTGTCCATATGACTGGTTTCTTTACCAGTCCCTCGGATCCTGCTTTGAATCAGCTGTCTTGGGAAGGGGGTGTGGTGGGGAGGTCACTTCAGGAGAGTAAACTGGAGGCTGAATTTTCTGGCGTCTTCTCTCTGCAGGCTGTTGTAGCAGGAGCTGGGGTCATTGTCCATGAGAAGCATGGGAGCAAACTCTCAGTAAGTCTTGTGTGTCCTCTGTCCCCTCCTATGTCTGTTTTTCTGCTCAATTTTTCTGTCTTCTTTGCTTTGGTTCCTCGTATCCTGGGAGGGGTGGGGAGGGCTTCCTGGGCTGGGAAATGAGGAAGAGGAGACAGGTTTGGGGCCGGGACCTCATGACTCTGCTCTCAATAAGGAGGGTTTGCGTCCCGCACTTCTCCTTCTAGGGCTGCACATCAGGTCTGCTCACGCTGGCTGGTATCGCCATGGCTGTGGCTGCTTTTGTCCTCTGTGTGAATAGCTTAACCTGGCAAACCGATGGCTTCGTTTACATCGACTCTGCGTGTGTTTACCCAGAATCTAACGTCATGAACACGACCACTGGGTACACAGAGACGTGGCGAAGGAGTGGCGGGTCACAGTGGAATGAGGATAGGTGTAGAATCTACATGCAAATGCTGATGGTGAGAACAAAGTCCAGTCTTCCAGAAACCTGTCACATCTGTCTGTTCCCAAGGACCTGGGGCACTGGAGGGCAGAGATGTAGACTCTTTGAGTGTGACCGTCCTCCTGGGTCTGTGGTTCAGGAGGTTTTTAGCTTAAGCTGGAGACATTTCTCAGATGTTCATGGCATAAGAATTCCCTGGATCAAAGGGTTGGAGGAGCAAAGAGCAGACATTCAAGAGAGAATATCATGGAGTGTCCTTCTATCTTTTCTGGTGTACCATTGTCCTAGTTACCTATTGTTGCATAACACAACACCCAACATATTGTGGTTAAAGACTAATTTATCATCACTTCTCATGTTTGGTGGGCCGGGTGGCCTCAGATAGGCAGTCTTCACCTGGGTTTTCTCATGCGATTGCAGTCACATGTCAGTCAGGGGTGAAGTCATCTGAGAGCTCGAATGGGTTGGATCTCTAAGATGGCGCTCACATGGCCGGGAGCTCAGCTAAGGCTATCAACCAGAGAGCCTACAATGGTCATGTGGCTTGGGCTTCTCATGGCATGACATCTAGGTTCCAACGGGAAGTATTCCACTGTGAATATTTCAGGAGGTAGGAAATGGAAGCTGCCAGGCCAGTGAAAGGCTACCCCTGTAACTGGCACAGTGTCGCCTCCACTATATTTTGTTGTCCAAAACAGTTACAGGCTGTTCCAGATTCTAGGGATGAAGAAATCGACCCACCTCTTCACAGGGTGTTTTAAGATCACGCTGCAGACATGCAAATGGGGTGGAAGCTAGGGCTACCCCATCGTTGGAAAATGCACTCTGCTTTGGTGGGAAGTAGTTGGACAGTTTGATACGTGGCTGGGGTGATAAGGTGGTGATAAGAGCAGAATCAGAGAAGCAGGCTCCTGACTGTGTCTTTTTTCCTTCCTTTATCTCCAGAATTTGTTACTGGGAATCCGTGCTCTGCTACTGGCTATCTGTGTCCTGCAGGTCATCGTATCCTTGACTTCCCTGATCATGGCTCTTAGAAGTTCGCGTGGCCAGAGCTCCCGGCCTCTGGTGAGCTGTTGGGGAGACACAGGGGAAAGGCTGGGTCTGTTTGGTGAAGCTCTGGGAACAGGGAGGAACGCTGGGACCAGGAGCTTTGCTCAGCTTCTTTCTGGTACTCAGCTCGGTTCCTTCTTGGCTGGAAAGTGTGTGCCAGCATCGTGTTCAGGTTAGCTTCTGCCCTCTGCCTTTTCAGGTCCTTCTCTACTCCTTCCTGTCCCATGTCTCTGGGTAGCAAGCCCTCCTCAGTACCTTTTCCTTCCTTACCTTTTTTCCTGTACCTGATTTCAAGTCCCAGGAAGCTAACTAAGCCCCATCTTTTCTCCAGAAATTATTGATTTTCCCTGTTTTGTTTTGTTTTGTTTTGTTTTTTTCAGGATGAGGAAGGGTCAGAGAAAAAGCTACTGGGGGAGAATTCAGTGCCTCCCTCCCCATCCAAGGAGAAGACAACAGCTGCCATCATCCTGTGAGCTCCTGAAGACCCTGCCTGGTCCTCCGCATGCCCCCAGCCAGAGTAGCCCAGGGCCTCTGGAGGATACAGCATCCACTCCCCAGGGCCCCTCCCTGCCCCTGCTCCTCACACTTGCCTGTCCTTTGGCCAGTGTCCCGGCCTCCTCTTTTTCGGCTATTCCCACTCCAGTGGCCTCAATTCAAGGAACAAGTGCTGTAGCCTTTTCTCCAGTGCTGATTAAATAGAAACAATAGGAAAAATAATTTTGCCCAGAGAAGATGTGGTCTTTCTTTGCTTCTGCACATCATGTGCTATGAAGATGCCTTTCTCTGGGTGGGTTCAAATGAGGGCCAGTTTGTGACATCCAAACAAGGTCCCAATAAGACTAAATTTAATTATGTTCCGCTCTACATCCCAAATAGCCAACTTCCTTTTTATGATTTCCTTCTGTTCAATGTAAAGTGAAACTAACTCTCATATACTTAGAATCTTTTTACCTGCTGAGATTCGTCTTTAAGCATCTACAATTTTAATGATAACTTTCTGGGGGGTTTATAGAATTATGTGAGGCATGGAACAAAGCTTCCCCCCCTTCCTTCCTTTCTTGCTTGCTTTCTCTCCTTTCTACAGTAATTAGTTAGTTCTTTCTCTACATACACACACACATACACACGCCTATTATTCTTCAATTTCTTTTTAAATGATAGGAATTTTTAAAACTTTTTTCATTTTCTTTATACATATATAGAATAAACTATATATATAGAATAAAATATAAATAAAAAAATAAAATAAAAAAATAAAATATAAATGTAAGCATTTCTGAAGGGTAAGAAAGCAAGTTATGGTCTGTAGAATGAAAAACAAGTGATTATTATTCTGGCTTTTTTTTTTCTAATTCAAACAGAGTCAGTAGCCTTGTATCTCCATGTGGTTTTATGAAAATCTTTGTGAGGTAGGATTTATCCCTCCTTAGCAGACCATAGGGGAAGAACAGTTCTTCAAATCCAGGTAGACTGGCTCAGAGCCCCCACCTTCACCCAACATTACTGGGCTGTGCTGAACGGGTGCAGAGTTGCTAAAATGAGTGGGTCCTGGCCCTGTGTGTGGGGATTCACAATGGAGGGTCTGTGTCTGTCTCCCTAGGGCCCCTAACCGCCTAGTCCTTAGATAGAGATTTGTAAATAAGCCTGTATAAGAAAATGTCACAGAGATGACACAAAAATATGTTCAGAGTATTGGACAGGGTTTGGCAAGTTTCACCCTGAGGGTCAAATCCAGTCTGTCCCCATTTTTGTAAATACATTTTTATTGAAACACAACCACACCCAATTTTTTTACACATTGTCGATGCTTCAAGGGCAGAGTTGAATAATCTCAACAGAGACTGAATGGCACACAAGGCTGAAAATATTTACTACCAGGTCTTTTACAGAAAAAAGTTTGCCATCCCCCGGTTTAGGGGACCACAGTGGGGGGCATGGTAAGTTCTATTGGGTGATTGACAGGAGCCTATATCCTTGTTGCCTCAAGTGTGAATCTGCCCCAGATGTGCTGGCCTGTGGCATGGGCAACTCGAGCCACTCGGGGGCTTGGTAGAGATACAAACTCTGCCCACCCCTGTCACAAAACTTGAATCAAAACTTGTGTTTTCACAAGATGCACAGGTGGTGCTTCCTCTGCTGAGCACATGTTGGGAAGCATGGGGATGGATGATCACACCAGGGGGCTTGCTGGGAGTATTCAGATATGGAACAAGTCCCCTGGATTTTAATCATTTTGTTTTCATTCTTCAGATGAGCTTGTTAGATGCTATTAATTTCTATGTGTCAGTGCTTCAAAACCGGTCCATTTATGGCCAGATCAGATAGAAATGTTTTTCATTTTTCATACTAATAAATCAGTGTCAACTTGGTGGATTTGGAGGGTTTATGGGGGGGGGTTGGATGTTGTTGCATGAAATGATCTTTATGATCTCTTAATGTCGGAGTCTGGCAACCTCTCCTCCCCTACCAAGTTGCTTAGTCTCTGAGGGTAGGAACGGGAGGCTCCCTTTCTCTGACCCTGCCTCCTCCCCAATTTCCTCTACTCTTGGTCCTCCTGCCCTCCCTCTAGCCCTGCACGGTTCTGAATCTTTTCCTTTTCTGTAGGAAATCAGATGTCGGACCCTTCTCCCCTTGCTTTTGTTTACTCAGAGAAACCAATAGTTACTGGTTTATCTGCAGGCTGCACCTTGGAGGAGAAACTGTATATATACATATGGAGACAACCCCATGACCCTGACATGGGGTCAGGCAAGTAAGCCCAGACGGATTTGTATTTCCTGAATGATTAAAAACTGGAGTGTAAACAGGAAATTGGTTTTATTTTCTAATCACTGCTCTACATACTTATTTTGCTGTGGCGCCCAATGCAGAGCTTGAACTCAAGATCAAGACCTGAGCTGAGATCAAGAGCCTAAGGCTTAGCCCCCTGAGCCCCCGAGGTACCAATCTAATCCCTGCTTTGAACTTAATAAAGGAACTTGAGTTTTCTTAATTCCCCATTTCCCCTTTGGATATGGGGTCCTTTAACATCAGGACCAGATTCTAGATTCCATGACCTGGAAATGGCCTCACATTTGTTGTGCAAGACCCAGTCCTGTTCAGGACCAGATTCCAGATTCCATGACCTGGAAATGGCCTCACATTTGTTGTTCAAGACCCAGTCCTGTTCATTTTTCAAACTGCACTGCTCAGAGCTTGGCTCCCCGCTCCAGTGTACACCGGGCTGCTGGACTGGGAGAGGCTGGGACAGGGAAGGGGGGAAGAAAGGCAGGGTGGCCTCCTTGATGCAGTAGAGGGGACCTGGGTTGGGTCTTCCTTGGCTCAGTGAATGTAGTGACGTGAGTAGTGTCTGTCCTTGCTCAATCTGGGAAGCACCAGGCAATTCCCCTGCCCTCTGTGAGAGATGTGAAATGGGAACGTTCCTTTACTCTTTCTTGCCCCTGCAAAGAGCCCAGAATCTTCAGACATGTTTCAGGGAATGCGGTAAAATCCCCAGTGTCTCAAACCAGAGAAGACCCTGGAGCCTCCAATCCAAAGTACTGTTCACACATACAAAAAAAATGAGCAATGAAGGCTTAGGAAAAACTGTCAACTTTTATTTTAAAAATTCCTTCTGAAGTAGGAAGGAGACATCACAGCTGTTGGTTTTCACTGTTGGGTGCTGCTATGAACTTCTGCAGCATTTACTGGCTGAGTTCATTTCTCGCCCTTTGCTCCTTGAGGCCGCTCCCCCACCCCCCATCATGAGGATTTCTAATTTTTTTTTAGTGTATTCCCTTGAATCTTAAACAAACACCAAAACCACTTGTACACTTAACCAACGCTTAACCAAACAATTCCAAAGCTAATCCATATCCTACCCTCTATCTGAAAAATAAAATGCCTTTAGAATGCTCCTTGCTGGATGATATTGTCTGGAATTTCAAGTTCTGTTTTTTTTTTTTTTTAAAGATCTCTTATTTAGTTATTCATAGAGACACACACAGAGAGAGGCAGAGACACAGGCAGAGGGAGAAGCAGGCACCATGCAGAGAGCCTGAAGTGGGACTCGATCCAGGGTCTCCAGGATCACTCCCTAGACTGCAGGCAGCGCTAAACCACTGCACCACCTGGGCTGCCCTGGAATTTCAAGTTCTATCTCGACTTAGTTTAAGCTCATAAATTAGATTATCTTATTTTTGCGTGTGAACTCGATGCTTGTTTAGATTTGCTCATGTTTTTATTAAGAACAAAAACTGTGCTTTTTCTTCTTGATATTCAGGGCTTCTTTCTGATACTGTTTTCTTCTTCTTTAAGATATATCCTTTCTGAGTTTCATTAAAAGTTGGAGGTCTCTTGGGAGGTAAACCTTCCCACTTTGTATTGATCAGAATAGTCTTTATTATATCCAGTTCAAGATAAATAGTCTCACTGGATATGCAATCCTACCTTGAGCTAAATGTAACCAAATTCTGGTGGTTTTTAAGATCTTTTCCCTTTCTTTGGTGTTCTGAAGATTTACTTCAGAATGTGTGGGCATGTGTGGATCTCTTTTCCCTTGAAAAATTCTTCCTGAGGAATTATTTTAAGGCATTCTGAGTCCCAGAACTCACACTTTTGTTTTTAAAGATTTACTTACTAAATAAATAGAAAGAAAGAGAGAGAGAAAGAGAGACCACACCGGCAGGGAAAGGCAGAGGGAGAGGGAGAGAGAGTCTGAGCCTGAAGCAGACTCCGTGCAGAGTGTGGAGCCTGAGGTGGGGCTTGATCTCATGACCCTGAGGTCAGGACCCCCACCGGAAATCAAGAGTCAGGGCTCAACTGACTGTCCCACCCAGCCACCCCCCACACTTTTATTTTTAAGACCTGAGAAACTCTGAGTTACGTCTGTAATCAGTCCCTTTCCTGCCACCACCACCACCCCCACGCCACCCCTGCCCATAATTCCTTCTGAATTCTTGTCAGACATGCATTCAACCCTCTCACTCCAGCCTCCTGATCTCCTTGTTCCTTTTCTGTTTCTCATTTTCCATCTCTCTGTTTCTACCTGTTGGGTTCCAGATAACTTCTTCATAATTACTTGCTGAGTTTACTCATTACTGCCTACGTTATTATAATCTGTTTTTAACCATTCTGTGAAATTTTAGATTCTTGTTTAACACCTCCCGAAATTCTATTTTCTTCTATTCTCTTTTGATCCACTGTTGTTCGTCAGTCAGTCATGTCACTGAGGATCTATTTTATTTCTGGAAGCTTATCGCATTATCTCTTTTATTTTCTGTAGGAAACAACACCAAAGTTTGAAGTCTTTGCCGTTTTCTGCTATCTGCGTTCACTAATGATATTTATTTATTTTTACTTAACATTTTTTTTTACAATTTTATTATTTTATTTTTTTAAATATTTCATTTATTCATTCATGAGTGACACAGAAACATAGAGGGAGAAGCAGGCTCCCTGTGAGGAGCCTGATGTGGGACTTGATCCCAGAATCCCAGGATCATGACCTGAGTCGAAGGCAGACACTCACCACTGAGCCCCCAGGCTTGCTTGCTTTCTTTCTTTCTTTCTTTCTTTCTTTCTTTCTTTCTTTCTTACCATTTTTACCTTGTTTAAGTGTACAGTTTGGTCACATTAAGTACATTCACATTGTTGTGCAACCATCACTTCTGCCTGTCTCTAGAACATTTTATCTTCCCCAGCTGAAACTCTGTCCCCATTAAATGCTAACTTCCCCT